AGAGGTACCACACTTTGCAGTGTGTCCAGCTGCCCTGTAAGCAAATTAAATGTTTAAAGGGGGTGCAGGAGATCTGGGACCCATTGCAAAGAATCTGGAGCTCCCACAACCACCGCTCCCTAATAATGCCGCTGGTGGAAGGATTTCCAACCCCCAATTAAAAATGAAACATAATAATAATAATAATAATAATAATAATAATAATAATAATAATTTATTATTTGTACCCCGCCCATCTGGCTGGGTTTCCCCAGCCACTCTGGGCGGCTTCCCAAAAAATATTAAAATACTATAATACATCAAACATTATAAGCTTCCCTAAACAGGGCTGCCTTCAGATGTCTTCTAAAAGTCTGGTAGTTGTTGTTCTCTTTGACATCTGGTGGGAGGGCGTTCCACAGGGAGGGTGCCACTACCGACAAGGCCCTCTGCCTGGTTCCCTGTAACTTGGCTTCTCGCAGCGAGGGAACTGCCAGAAGACCCTTGGTGCTGGACCTCAGCGTCTGGGTAGAAAGATGGGGGTGGAGACGCTCCTTCAGATATACTGGACCGATATACTGGACTTCAGATATACTGGATGCCTCAGAATCCACACATGGACGGGCTCTTCTTCAAGCGTCTCCTTTTAAAAGAAGCAAAACTGGACTTGGATGCTCTCGCTGCCCTTGTAAGAGGTCGCAGCTGAAAGGAAGATGCCGTTTTCCACATCTGCTCTGTTGACAAGAAACCAAATGGGCCCTTTTGGACGGGCAGGAGGCTGTTTTGGCAGCTGCGGCCTTCGTTCTCCGACCCTTCTGAACTCAGGTGGGAAGGGCAGCCCAACGGCGCTTTTTGCTGGCTCGAGCCTATTAACCGAAAGTTATCATTTCAGTTTGTGCTTTTCTCTATAGCATGCCGTTTTTGGATGGGCAACCCGATCTGCCGTCTCGCCTTGCTCTTGGCAGAGCTGCCGACCATTTAGCAAGCTGCAATTTGTTTGTGTGAGCTCATCATCTTTAAAGAGCAGGCTGTTGGAGGCGTTGTGAGCGCGGCTGCGAGAGAAATGTAAAGGTTCGAGTGATGCTTTCGGCAGATTGGAATATACATAACGGTCTTAACTAGAGGAGTTTAGGCTCCAGAGTATCTATTGAAGTTAAGTGGTGGCAAACCCCCTTCATCGCTTGCTTGATTGCCCCATTCACAAAGACACTAGAGATAAGTGCTTACGTCAGCCCAATATTTACATCCTCCAAATTGTGGCCAATTCAACATAAAACTGCATACCTTCAATAGAGCTTTCAAATCGCTAAAGCAGCTAAGAGTCTCTGATGATAATACAGTTGACCATTTTAACAATGAGACATGGTTTTGTATTGCTTGCTTCTTTCCTTGGGGCAACATTTTTGTGACAGCTTCTTAGATTTCCAAACATGTCTGGAGTCCCAAAAAAAGGGGGGGTGGGGGGCTTGGGTGTCCCAACCAAGGAAGAATGGCAGATCAAGTTAATGCAGAAATGGCAAAATTAATGGGAAGAATAAGGAATCAAGAAGAATTGTCAACAAAAATTGTGGACTATTGTAAACAACTAAACACATTTGTTGTTGTTGTTTAGTCGTTTAGTCGTGTCCGACTCTTCGTGACCCCATGGACCAGAGCACGCCAGGCACCTCTGTCCTCCACTACCTCCCGCAGTTAAACACATTAGCAGGATTAATCTAAAACCAAGCAGTTAAAAAGTTTATTTAAAAGGAAACTAGAGAGTAGCTAAGTAAAAGGTGTAAAATGGGAGATGCCTTTTTGGAAAGGATTTTATACGAAACCACGGAAGGGGTTGGGAGTCAAACGGAGTATGTACTGATTTACGTGTGATTGTTGTCAAACTGAAAAATAAAATGTAATAATAATAATAATAATAATAATAATAATAATAATAATATAAAGGCTTGGGACCCCTGCTCTAAGGTAAGGCAATATTATTCTCCTACACATTCCCTGTGGAGGGGGAAGCAAGACTGAGAAAGAGTGGAATACAGAACAGGGGTGTAGTACAAACCAGGGGCTTTATTTGTTTGTTTTATTTAGGAAATTTTTGTTCCCTCCTTTGTTATTCTCAGCAATAAAGTCAAAGTGTAACATAGCCAGAATACACAAAAAGAGAGGAAACCGATGCTCAAAAATCAATTTAATTTCATAAAACCAACAGTCTCAACACTTAGGGTCGTATTCAGTTACGTTTTGCTCAAGAGTAGACTAGTTGAAATGAATGAATGCCACTCATTAATTTCAATTTGTTTCCTCTTGGTAAAACTAAGCTGAACACCACCCTTAACAGGCTTGGGCGGGGGGTGGGGCGATAAATAAGTTTGAAGTGGATGCTGAAACGTTAATCCCGGCAGTAGCTTTCATAACAAAATAAGCAGAAGTAAAACAATGCTTGTTTAATTATCTTGAACTTGATCCACAAAAGCAATGATGCTAAACTTTAAAAAGCATAATAGGAACCACATAATAGGAAGTGGTTACTGAGAGTGACCACTAGATGGAGGCAGATAGTTACTAATCTGATTTATGATATTCAGCAGGGCACCTTCAGCTGTACTCCAACTTTCTTTTTAAATCCATTTTTAAAATCCTACGACTGGACGGAAACAGGATCCATTCTGCAGTTATTTGGACTGATGCAAATCAAATGTAAAGGCAGTGATCTTGTCATTTGTGGGTTATAATACTGTTGAGCAGAAGTGGTTGGGTGGTATAGGTCAGTCCGTAGAGCATGAGACTCGTAATCTCCGGGTTGTGGGTTTGAGCCCCATGTTGGGCAAAAAGATTCCTGCATTGCAGAGGGTTGGACTAGATGACCCTCATGGTCCCTTCCAACTGTATGATTCCAGAATTCTGGGAAGTAGTGATGTATTGTAGTAGCTGTGTGAATGGGGGAATGAGATTGGATGTGTACAAAGAGTGTCTTTTATGTTGACTGGGTTTCTACATTTTGCTATCTTTAATGCTTTTAATGTTCCGTTGCGCCAGAAGCGGTTTAGTCATGCTGGCCACATGACCCAGAAAGCTGTCTGTGGACAAACGCTGGCTCCCTTGGGCTGAAAGTAGAGATGAGTGCCGCAACCCCATAGTCGCCTTTGACTGGACTTAACCGTCCAGGGGTCCTTTACCTTTTTACCTTTACCTTACCCTCCCAAGCAGGAGAAAACAAGCTCGCTCCATCCTCCATGGGACAGCCCTTTAGATATGTGAAGGTGGCTATCCTGTCTCCTCTCAGTCTCCTTATATTGTATGTTGCATTTGTTGATCACTTTATCTTGCCCAAGTTAGCACTGGATTTATGGTGGTTTAGCCTATACAGGGGACGCAGGTGGTGCTGTGGGTTAAACCACAGAGCCTAGGACTTGCCGATCAGAAGGTCGGCGGTTTGAATCCCCGTGACGGGGTGAGCTCCCGTTGCTCGGTCCCTGATCCTGCCAACCTAGCAGTTCGAAAGCACATCAAAGTGCAAGTAGATAAATAGGTCTGGTGGGAAGGTAAACGGCGTTTCCGTGCACTGCTCTGGTTCGCCAGAAGCAGCTTAGTCATGCTGGCCACATGACCCGGAAGCTGCACGCCGGCTCCCTCGGCCAATGAAGCGAGATGAGCGCCGCAACCCCAGAGTCGGCCACGACTGGACCTAATGGTCAGGGGTCCCTTTACCTTTACCTTAGCCTACACAGGGCTCTTAGCCAAAGGAAGGAATAATGATGATGATGGTAATAATAATAATAATAATAATAATAATAATAATAATAATAATAATAATATTTATACAGGTACCTACTGAGAAGGTCCATCAGAAGCCAACTGTACCAAAAGGAATTATTGTGAAAATAAGAAATATTTGCAGGGGCACTAATTTTTAGTCCTCGTTCTAGGTGCCATGTTACCAAAGTCCACCCATGCCCAAGGCAACCCAAAGCAGTTTACAACCCTGAAACCCCCATAGATACATTAAAACCAGGCTGGGGGTGGGGAGGAATACATTAAAAACATCCCACCCATTTCTAAAAGGCATATACATATATATAGGCATCTGTCTGTGTCGGAAGACAATGGAGGTGTGTGTCTTCAGAGGTGAGGTCGAACTGTGTAAATTATGTTCTTAATATTGTACACTGTCCTGTGATCTTTGGACAAAGGGTGGTATATAAAAAGAAATAATAATAATAATAATAATAATAATAATAATAATAATAATAGCTAGACCAGAAGTTGGGCAACCAGACTGCACTTCTACATCAGACATTATGAGGAAGTCTCTATATAGGCCTATAACAGGCATAGGCAAACTCGGCCCTCCAGATGTTTTGGGACTACAGTTCCCATCATCCCTGGCCACTGGTCCTGTTAGCTAGGGATGATGGGAGTTGTAGTCCCAAATCAGGTTGAGGAGGACAGAGTTCGCCTATGCCTGGTGTTGCCCCAGGAACTCTGGGCGGCTTCCAACAAATTAAAACACAGTATCAAAGTATCAAGTTACAAGGTTTCAAGGAGATTCCAACTAAACATCAGAAAGTTGATATTTTGGGAGGTCGGATAGTTACAATGGAATGGTCTCGGCAGTGGGGTGCACATTTTTATTGTTACTTATTTATGATTATTACTTTGTCAAAACAAAAAATAGGTTGTTGTGTTTTTTTAAAAAAAGTTGTTCGACAGCGGAAGAAACACCCTCGTGAGGTTGCGGACTCTCCTTTCTTGGAGGTTTCGAAGCAGAGGTCGGGTGTCCATCTGTTCTGGATGCTTGCGTTCGAGATTCCTGCATCGCAGGGGGGTGGACTAGATGACTCTGGGTGCCCCTCTTCCAACTCTACAATTCGATCGTTCTACGACTGTCCAGGCTTTCAGCCTTTTTGCAGCTGCTGGGGGTCGAGCCTGCGACGCCCCGGTTGTTCTACCGACAAGACCGGTGGGCTTTCCCCTAGTTTCGCCCCTGCGCGCGCGCGCGCGTGCCCGTCCGCTCAAACCGGGAATTTCCTCTCCCTTCCCGTGACGACAGCAAGGGCTTGCAGGCGTCACGTGAGCGCGGCGGGGAGAAAGTACACTTCGGCGTGCAAAGCTGCAGGAAGCCTCCTCTATCCCTGACACGCTTTCCAAGAAAAACCCAAGAAATAAAAGCCCCCAAAATGCCCGCTTTCAACCTCTCCAAAGAAGCAGTCGTCGGGACTGCAGCGCTTGGGGTGGTTGCTGTTGCTGGATTCCTAATAGGTAAGATCCTGAGACTAAGATGTCCCTTTGTCCTCTGAGTCCGCCTTGGAAGCAGGATCCGCGTGGGCGCCGCCCTGTTGCGCGTTCGCCAGCGGCCCCACGGCATGTTGCGCGCGTGACCCGGGCGAGGGTGGAGTCGTGAGTGGGCTGGGTGGCAGGAGGGGCAACCCAAACCCTAATGAGCTCATGGGTTTAGGGTTGGGGCAAGCCCCAGTCTCCCTTTAACAGGACAAACTGAGGGAGTGCAGGATGCTGACACTATGTGACACCCAAAAAGGGGGAAATAGGTAAAGGGCCCCTGGATGGTTAAGTACGGGGTATGGCCCTCATCTCACTTTCAGGCCGAAGGAGCCAGCGTTTGTCCACAGACAGCTTTCCGGGTCATGTGGCCAGCATGACTAAACCGCTTCTGGCGCAACAGGACACCGTGACGGAAACCAGAGCGCATGGAAACGCCATTTACCTTCCCGCCACAGCGGTACCTATTTATCTACTTGCACTGGCATGCTTTCTTTTTTTTAAATGGATTTTTATTAAAGATTTTTTTGGTTACAAAAGTATGTGCAATGTCTCTTTTTTCAATATTTTTTACAGATCATTTTCATTTGTTGAGACATTAGGAAGAAAGGGGGGAAAGAGGTGGAGGGGGAAAGGTGAGTGGGGGTGGGGTCGGGTAGTGATGTTTCTATTTTACTTAATATATGTGGGGTTTTGTGTCAGGGTCACTTGTGCAGGTTCTCTGCTATTCACCTGTGTTTCTTTGGTGGTGAGAGAGGTTGGGGTTGGCCTAGGGTGCGGCTGTTTGTTTGTGATTGGCTGTGGTGATCTTTGTTTCATGTGTGAGTGGGGTGGGTGGGTGTTTTGGATCAAGTTAGCCATATTGATTTGTATGTTGTTGGATTTTTGTCGTTGTCTTGTTGGGCTGTGTGTATGATAAAGGGGAGCCTTCATGAAGGCGTCTTCTTCTATTTGTCCCCGTGTCAGTTTCAGTTTATTGGTTAATTTTTCTAGTAAGGCTGTTTCCCATACTATTTGGTACCATTGGTCCATGCTTACTCCTGACAGGTCTCTCCAGTGTCTGGTTATGATGTTCACTGGCATGCTTTTGAACTGCTAGGTTGGCAGGAGCTGGGACAGAGCAACGGGAGCTCACCCCGTCACAGGGATTTGAACCGCCGATCTTCTGACTGGCAAGTCCAAGAGGCTCAGTGGTTTAGACCTGCGCCACCCATGTCCCTTGTATGCTCAAACAAACACTTTTTGGAAGCCGAACGTCTGATGCAGCTTCCAATTGAGTGCAGGAAGCTCCTGCAGCCAATTAGAAGACACGCCTTGGTTTTCAAATGGTTTTGGGAGTTGAACGGACTCCCGGAACAGATTAAGTTCGAGAACCAAGGTACCACTGTATAGTGTAACAGGCCTCCTGTTCAAGGCTGGATGGAGCCTGGGAAAAGGATATCATAGCAGAGGTTCACTGTAGTGCTATGGTGCTCTGTTCAGTTTGGGGGGCTGTGGAAAATTCACATTGTGGCAATCTGCATTCTCCCAGTCCTGTGATGCCTTTCTATAGGGAAGAGTGTGGGGCACAGCCTTGATTTCTACTGCCCTTGTCCTAGGGCTCTTGTGCTTTGATGTACACACTGAATTTGGGATGAGCTTTACCATTAACTTCCATGAAGAAGACAGGCCTGTAAATGGGCAGATCTGCTTCCACCATTGAAGTGAACGGGGAAACCCTTAGGCGCAAGGGAGCGATGTGTGCATGCAGCCACACCAGAAATCTTTGGAAGCTTACGGGTTTGTATGCTTGTCTTATTTCTTTCCCAAAAGGCAGAAGATATTCAGACCTTCCCTTTGGAACTCCCAAAAGCCGTTTCCGAGGGAAAAACAGCCCATTACTGCAGTACGTACTGGATCACTCCTTGAGGGAGCACCCGGCTTTGAAGAAGCTAAGATTGGTAAGTATGTCTTTCTATTGGGTCTATCTTCCCAACTTCAGCTCTCACATAAGTGCCCCATTCAGAGTCCACTTAGGAACTTGCTCATGCCCAGAACTGGGTTTTGTCTTCTCCATGAGATGATAAGGATAGACATCCCAGAAAAAAATATATGGTTATTTATTTTCTGCAATGGTTTCATTTCGCATCAGAACCGTGTTGTCTCAAGGAAAAGGTATATGGGGCCCACAATGAAACCCACGAGCTCCGCCCCAAGTTTCTGTGCTGTATCCGCCAGATAATTCCCATATAGCCTTCTAAAAAACAATAGAATATCAGTAAAGACCAGGACCCCCCTTTCCCCCTGTAAATGTGGCCATGCTAGGTTCCATTGCAAGTGGAGGCGCACGGTGGCTGACCGAATGCTGACTCAAGACAAGAGAGAGAGGTGCTCAGTTAGGTTTCTCCCCAACCTGCTAGTCTTGTTTGTGGAGGAATTTAGCATTTGCTTTCCTGAGAGAACTTTGCATCATGTGAACACCAGGCTGTGTTCCTTTGAAGTGGTACTGCTAAGCCGCAGTGAGAAGTAGGCCATATCCTGGCGTGGACCCTTGCCGCTGTGAACTCAATTCTAAATACCCTTGCAATTCTAAGTAGCCCTATTTAATGCAACAAGAGTGCCTGGCGTGCTCTGGTCCATGGGGTCACGAAGAGTCAGACACGACTAAACAACAACAAATGCAACAAGGCTGACCTATAGGTACTTTCTAGGAGCTTGCAACAGCTGAACCTCTCATTGTAGTGAATATTAATTCACATAACCACTGGCGGACTAAGAGAGGTGCGGGGGGAGCGCACCACCCTCAGCAGCGCGATCTCAGGATGCCCTGCCCCCGCCTTCTCTCCGCCCCCTGGTGCCAGAGCATGAAGCTCCGCCACTGCACGTAACAGTTTTGAAAATGTGTATCCCTGTGTTACCTGTCTATTCAGTCATGGATCAATAGTTTCCCCACTCCCCTGCTATTCAGTGTATAGCCTTTACAATTATTGATAATTATTATTATTCGTCAGAGTTATCGGTTGCTTTTTCTTTGCTAAAGGCAACTCAAATGACTTACAGCCAAAGACTTTATGCAGAAGCAGGGCATTTTTTCAGCCGGAACTTGCCCAAACTCAGGTGGCCGCCATTGCCATTCTAAGAGAACAGGGGTTCTCCATTCATGGAGAGTTCCAGCACCTCTTTTTCTAGAAAAAAAATAGCACTGTGCAGAAGGTTATTGTCATTTCTCTGGTCATGCAAATGGAGAAATCAGCCAAAGGCAAATTGTGTTCACGTGCACAAATAGCCCCCACCCCCATAATTTATAGCACTGGTTACCGATCAGTAAGTTAGCAACTTGTAATAAGCTGATGTTCTTTTCTAGGTTACTTGGAACCTTCCCAATAAAAATATGATGGTGTCTATTGACGAGGCCCAGCTTTTGGCCAACCTGGCGAGGCTGATCAAAGCAAAGAAGGTCATTGAAGTAGGTAAGTCATTCTGTTTATGCAGGGAAGGCTCCAGAATGATCTGTAGGCTGAATTGCAGGATCTGTGGGTCATGTGGCTGTTGCCTGCTAATCACATCTGGAAGAGAAGTGACCTTATGTCCACTGGAAGTCTGGTATCCAGTCACTTTCTTTCTTTTTTGAAAAAAAAATTCCTTGAATTAAAAAAAAAAAATCCACATAAAAATTCCAGTGCATTAGAGAGAGAGTGTCAACATCCCATCCTATTTTCCATGACGTTTTTCTTATCTCCCCTGTGCTGCATCCTGTCTTCCCTCTTGTTTAACATACCGTATTTTTTGCTCCATAGGACGCACCTTTTTTCTCCTAAAAAGTAAGGGGAAATGTCTGTGCGTCTTATGGAGCGAATGCCTATGGGTGGCGGGGGGATCTGCTGCAGTTGCAAGCCGAGGATCCATGGTTCCCCTTCCTTCCCTCCTCCATCGCTTGCTTTGAAGCAGCCAGTTGGCTCCTTTAAAGCAACCATGCTCTCTTTCCCTCCCTCCTCCCCGCTCAGCTCGCTAAATAGCAGCAAAGCTTTTCAGCTCGCTGAGCCGGGGAGGAGGGAGAGAAGCAGAGCCCGCTTGCTTTAAAGGACAAAGTAGGAGAGAAGAGGAGCCGCTTACACGAGTGTAAGCAGCTCCTGTCCAGTTGGCTACTTTAAAGCAACTGTGCTCTCTTTCCCTCTCTCCCTCTCTGGCTCAGCGAGCTGAAAAGCTCCTTCTCCACACACCCCACACATGCTCCTTGTCCCTTCAGTGTTTTTCCTTCCCTTCCCAAATCCTCAGGATTTTTGCATTGGGTCACCCCAAGTTCACCATCAGATCACATAGCATGCCCATGGCTACAGCCTGCACCAAAAAAATCATGCATCCACTGTTTTGTTCAGAATATATTTTTTCTTGTTTTCCTCCTCTAAAAACTAGGTGCGTCTTTTTGTCAGGTGCGCCTTATGGAGCGAAAAATACGGTAGTCATAACGCAAAAATCTTTCATTCTTTCTGTTGCTCATAGTTTGAAACCTGTTGGCGGGTTCTTCGTGCTATAGTATTTCTTCAAATAATCTGAAAAAGGTTTCCATTCGTCAAAATAAAAAACACCAGTCATCATTCGTTTCCTGCTTGGCAGGGGGTTGGACTCGATGGCCCTTGTGGTCTATTCCAACTCTATGATTCTATGATTAGATTCTCGTATTTTAGCTGTTAGCTTGGCTGATTCAACATAGCCCATTACTTTGCTTAGCATCCAACCACTTTCTAGTTTCTGTTCTTTGGCCTGTACATTTGGCTTGACTCTAAAGATCCCCGTGTTCTTTTCAGGCTGTGGACTGAGGCAGAGGAACAAATACTCCCAATTCCGCAACAAACGTTTGTTCTTTTAGAATTTCTGTGACTTTTCCAGCATTCAATCCCTGGCCCTCCACCTTAAAAGGTTGCGTTGGTTTCTCCAAAGAACGCTATCTCCTGCCTGAACCCTGTCTGAATTATCCTAGCTTCTTTGAGCTGAGCTGGCCAGGACAATGTTGAATGGAAGCCTAGCACTGAGCAGGCTGCAACGTCTTAGGCCAACCATTCTGAGAAGTTTTATTTTTCCAGGAAGTGGCTTCCGAACTGCGCTGCGTCCCAGACCATATTGTAGTCCCAAACTTGCCGCAGCTCCTGCAAACGTACATTGGCTGCGGTTAGATTGCTCTGAGCGTTGTGAAGTCGCAAGGGCAAGCACTATAAATAAGTAAGCATTGAATAATTGCATTTCAGGGCTTAATCCACGGTCAAGAGCGCCATTCTGAGCTGCTTACAGGAAGGGCAGGGCAGGGCCAAATGAGAGACAAGCAAAGTCTCACAGGCTGCATGGGTGGGAAAAAACACTTGGCACGCAAGTTTCAGTTGGGCCGCCTCTGCCATCTCCGCTTCTGCATTAGTTACTAGAGACTGCAAGATAATTCGGGGTGGGGCAGAGGAGAGCAATTTGTGGTTTTGTAGAGACATCCCAAGCATCCGTACAGGATTGGTCATTGGACAAAGGACCAAGAGATTTGTGGAGCCTACTTCTCCCTCTCTCTCTCCCTCTCTCTCTCTCTCTCTCTCTCTGCTGTAGCTGTCTCATGACACAATGGCATTCTCAAAATAGGACATGAAAATATTCAAAACCCTACCAGAGAAGAATGGCAGGTCAAGTTAATGGATTATGCCGAAATGGCCAAAATGATCGGAAGAATCAGAAATCGGGAAGACCAAAAATTTAATAAGGAATGGGGAAATTTTATAATTTATCTTAAAAACCATTGTAAACAGTTAAAATCGTTAGTAGGATTGGAATAACCCACCCAAGAGGCCGGGATATTATTTTTAATATTTTTCTCTCTCTGAAAACAAGTACTGAAGACATCTGCAGTCTCTCATGCCTGGAAGAGGTTGTGTTAAGATACCAGTTAAGAATGGGATCTAGAACTCGTGGAACTCTCTGTGTCGCAGAAATAGGAACCAAGCTCCGACAACTGCCCGTAATTCCTGGTGTGTTTCAGGTGTCTTTACAGGGTACAATGCCTTAAACATGGCTCTGGTCATACCCGAGGATGGCAGAGTCGTCGCCTGCGATATAAGCGAAGATTATGCCAATATCGGAAAACCAGTGTGGAAGGAGGTAAATGAGCTGCGCCGGCACACCTGAGGATTGGGAGACCTGAGAACCGGAGCTAAGCAACATATTACATGGGAGATCTGTCATTTCAGGCATTGGTTGTCTTAGCTTTTAACTCTGAATCAAATGCAGGGAAGTACGGATTTGGTTGGCGCAGCTGGGCTTATAAGTGTATATAAACCTCTCCCCTTGATGCTGTTTCCTTCTATCTAAATCAGTGGTTCCCAGCCTTTTTTTGGCCATGCCCCATCTAAGCATCTCTAAAATCCTGATTCTGCCCCCCCCCCGTGACATATACTGTATTTTTCGCTCTATAAGACGCACCAGACCACAAGACGCACCTAGTTTTTGGAGGAGGAAAACAATAAAAAAAATATTCTGAATCTCAGAAGCCAGAAGAGCAAGAGGGGTCGTTGCGCAGTGAAAGCAGCAATCCCTCTTGCTGTTCTGGCTTCTGGGATAGCTGCACAGCCTGCATTCGCTCCATAAGACGCACACACATTTCCCCTTACTTTTTAGGAGGGACAAAGTGAGTCTTATAGAGCAAAAAATACATTAATTCTTACTATGGATAAATCATGAATTTCCTGAGGTATCTGAATTCCTGCTGATCACCAGTGCTCAGAGCAGGGGGAAATTCCACAACTGTTGACTGAGTGCTCCCAGAGCACTACTCCCCCTGAATGTGCCCAATGTGTTTTCTGTTTAGATAACCTTTTCTGTTTAGATAACCTCTCCATTGCCACCAGCTGACTGCCGTGTACATGCCAATTTTAATTTTAAAAATGTTTATGTCACAAAATATCTTTATATACCATGTATGAGGCCCCTAGAATCATAAGAAATGCAAAAAAAAAAATCACTGCTAATAACTCATTCTCGAATTGCCCCCCTTAAAAATCAAGTTGCCCCCCTGTGGGGCATGTGTCCCACATTGGGAACAACAGAGCTAAATCTTCTCCTCCCCACCCCCCAGCAATCTGCTATTGGCCCTGTAGAAATACAACCGCCGAAGTGTTATTTGGCACTTACTCAGGTAACTGCTTGCGAAATAATGTTGCAGCCACTCCCTAGCAATAATGGCTACATTACCAGTAACTAATGCTGGCACCATTAGCGTCCCACAAAGTACAGAATGTCTGCGGTCACCATTTTACAAGTGCCAAAGCATCTTTATGCTCCATAAGTGATGCCGCTGTGACGCATTGGTTTAAAATCTTTGCTCTAGCTAGTAAAGGTAAAGGACCCCTGGATCGTTAAGTCCACTCAAAGGCGACTATGGGGTTGCGGCGCTCATCTCGCTTTCAGGCCGAGGGAGCCAGCATTTGTCCATAGACAGCTTTCCGGGTCATGTGGCCAGCATGACTAAACTGCTTCTGGCGCAACGGGACACTGTGACAGAAACCAGAGCGCACGGAAATGCCGTTTATCTTCCCACCGCAGCAGTATCTATTTATCTACTTGCACTGGCATGCGTTCAAATTGCTAAGTTGGCAGGAACTGGGACAGAGCAACAGGAGCTCATTCCATTGCAGGGATTCGAACCGCCGACTTTCTGATCAGCTAGCCCAAGAGGCTCAGTGGTTTAGACCACAGCGCCACCCGCGTCCAAATGTTGCATTCCGTCTTAGGGCATTGGACACGATCTTGCCGGATGTCAAATCCTGTTTTAAATCCTCCCTCTTAACTTCAGTGGAAAAGATTGAAACATATGCTTGATGCTTTTCTCGAAATATGAGGACTTTCCCCCCTTTTCTGCACGTACATAGCGCAATATTTTTTATCTGAAATTGGTTCTCACCCACTGCCAAGTGTATCCATGGCATATGGTTGCATGGCATGGGTGCCTAAGAGGGCAGGAGTGGCCAAGCTGGCGCTGCTCAGATGCTGTTAAACTGCAGCACCTTCAGCCATGAGGGCAATACTCAGGGATGCTGGGACTTGTAGTTCAGCAATATCTGCCACAGGGCATTACCTCTGACGTGGCACTATTTTTGTAGATTTTCTTGTGTTCTGAAAGCTGAGCATTCCCATCCTGTAACAGGCAAAGAAATAAAAAACCTGCTTATCTCATCAGAGGAGTTAGTGGCCTCTTCCTCCTCCTCCTCCTCCAATAATTAAATAAGTAGAAATTAAAAAGCAAAGAAAAAAGGGTGCGCCATTTCCTTGCCCAGTCATGCCCCACAATTTTTTTTGTAAGGGGAAATGTGGATATGACTTATATCAACTACCAGCCAACTGGCTTCCATTTGGCAGCGTCCTCTGTGTTTTCACGTTCAGCCCTGAAACAAAGTGATTTCAGAATTTGTGACTTTGGCGGTTTGCCTAAGATTGCTGGAGAAGGGACCCAGGAGGTAATGGTTTGTAGCCTCCAGCTAAGCCACAGCTGAACCACTCAGCTTTTATTTCCACCACCTCTCTGTTTTTCCTCTCAACTCTGATTTCCCAAATCCAGGGATTTAGTGTATTCTGTAAACAACCACCCACCTGGTCAGTTGTGGCAAAAAGGAAACTTTGCAGAAGTTGGGTTTTTTAGGCCACAAGCAATGTACCGTATTTTTTGCTCTATAAGACTCACTTTTTCCCTTCTAAAAAGTAAGGGGAAATGTGTGTGCCTCTTATGGAGTGAATGCAGGCTGCGCAGCTATCCCAGAAGCCAGAAAAAGCAAGAGGGATTGCTGCTTTCACTGCGCAGTGATCCCTCTTGCTGTTCTGGCTTCTGAGATTCAGATTTTTTTTTCTTATTTTCCTCCTCCCAAAACTAGGTGCATCTTATGGTCTGGTGTGTCTTATAGAGCGAAAAATACGGTATATAGGTGGCCCATAAAGCTTGCTTTGGGCTAATAACTCTTTTGGAGAGTGGTTTAATGTCCCACGTAATCTTCCCAGTACTCCAATTCACAGACCAGATGAAGACCTCTTAACCTTGGCCTTCAAGCAGAGCAAATGATATCCAATGAAATGGAGAAATTACATATGAAAAGACATTGATTTTATCAGGCCCCTCTCAAAATCACCTATAGTACAGTCATACCTTGGATCCTGAATGCCCTGGAACTCGAGACGTTTTGGCTCCCAAACGCCACAAACCCGGAAGTCATTGTTCCAGTTTGTGAATGTTCTTTTGGAACCCAAACATCTGGTGGGACTTCCGTGGCTTCTGATTGGCTGCAAGAGCTTCCTGCAGCCAATCAGAAGCCACGATTTGGTTTTCAAACGTTTTGGAAGTTAAACTGACTTCTGGAACGGATTCCTTTCGCCTTCCAGTGTACAACTGTATGCCTTTCCTAGGAAATAACCTTTTACCCCTCTCTCACTTCAGGCAAGAGTGGATCACAAAATTGACCTCCGGATAAAGCCGGCCATCCAAACACTAGGTATGTCAATAATGCCTGGAAATTATAGAATGTGCAGCTGAATTGTGACATGTCATAGTGGTTGAGAAGAGTAGATAACAAAATGGGTTCACCAGTTTAGTGGTGTGTCAGGAGAGTGGCTTAAAAAGTGTTGTTTTTTCATAAAGGATGGTTTGCTTTTTGGCAGGCCCCTAACCTCTGAAATGTCAACTTACACAAAATCAAACTCCTATGTATATTATGGCACAGCGCTATTGTACATTAGGCAGTGCTAATGGGAGGAGTCTGCTAATTTCACTGAAACTGAACTGTCCTACAGATGTTTCCTATTTGAAATGAAATCGTCCTTTTTTTTAATGTCTAGATGAACTTCTGGCAAATGGCGAAGCTGGGACATTTGACTTTGCTTTCATAGATGCTAACAAAGATGGATACAACGACTACTATGAAAGATGCTTACAGCTCGTGAGAAAAGGAGGAATAATAGCAATTGATAATGTAAGCACAGGATGCTTCCTCAAGAAAGTCTCGTGGCAAATTAAAAGTTCTTAACAAATTCATTGGAGCATAGGTATTGGTAGAGCCTGTTTGACAATCAAATACTAAATCATTTCAAAGAATTCCAACAGATAATTTGATTATATGAACACTATAGAATCATTGAATTGTAGAGTTTTCAAAGAGGGGCACCCAGGGTCATCTAGTCCAACCCCCTGTGATGCAGGAATCTCAACTAAAGCATCCATGACAGAGGGCCTTCCATCCTCTGCTTAGAAACCACCAAGGAAGAAGAGTCCACAACCTCGTTGAAGTCCGCTCAATTGTCAAAACAGCTCTTACTGTCAGAAAGCTCTTCCTGGTGTTTAGTCAAAATTTCCTTTCTTGTAATTTGAAGCCATTGTTACAGGCCCTACCCTCCAGAGCAGGAGGAAGCTAGCTTGTTCCATCTTCCATGTAACAGCCCTTTAGATACCGTATTTTTCGCTCTATAGGGCGCACCTAGTTTTTTTTTGGGGGGGGGGAGAATAAAGAAAAAAAAATTATTCCTCTTTAGCCACGCACAACCTCTCCAGCCGGGAGAGGCTGCACGCGGCTTTGGCAGAAGCCAAGACAGTGAGCGGGATGGATCCCGCTCGCTGTCTTGGCTTCATTTTTAGCCACGGGGCTGGAGCGGGGGAATCCTGAGCTTCCCCCGACCCCAGCCCCCAGAACAGGTCCGGGAGTGGCGGCAAGGTTGCACGCAGCCTTGCCGCCGCTCCCGGAGCTTGCGGGCTGGGGGAGCGCTCCGAAGGTTTGCGGATAGCTGCCTGAAGCCCAGGGAGCGCAGTGGGAGTTGGCACTGTGCTCCCCGGGCTTCAGGCTGCAGGCTTCTATCCGCAAGCCTTTGGAGCCCGGCGGGAACTCCCGCCGGGCTCCAAAGGCTTGCGGATAGCTGCCCAGAGCCCGGGGTGCGCAGCGCTGCACTCCCCAGGCTTCGGGCTGCAGGCTGCTATCCGCAAGCCTTCAGAGCCCGGCGGGCACTCCCGCCACGCTCTGAAGGCTTGCGGATAGCTTCCTGAAGCCTGGAGAGCGAGAGGGGTCAGTGCGCACCGACCCCTCTCGCTCTCCAGGCTTCAGCGAAAGCCTGCATTCGCTCCATAGGACGCACACACATTTCCCCTTCAGTTTTGGATGGGGAAAATTGTGTCCTATAGAGCAAAAAATACGGTATTTGGAGATGGCTATCATATCTTTTCTCAGTTTCCTCTTCACCAAGCTGGAACATTCCCAATTCCTTCAACCGTTCCTCATAAGGCTTGGCTTCCAGACCCTTCATCATCTTGGTCGCCCTCCTCTGCACACGTTCCAGCTTGTCAATATTCTTACATTGTGGTGCCCAGAACTAGACATATTATTCCAGGTATGGCCTGGCTCGAGGCGTGGCAGAGTAGAGCAGGATTATGACTTCCCTTGATCTGGACACTCGACTTTTGTTGATGCATAGCATCCAGATCAAGGGAAGTCATAGAAGCCAATCCTTTATTTTTGGGTGACAGCTTTAAAGTGATAGGCCCTCAGTCACATGAGTATGTTTTACGGGGGAAATACTGGCGGTGGTGGACAGAGGGCACATACAGTGGTGCCTCGCAAGACAAAATTAATCCATTCCGTGAGTCTCTTCATCTTGCGGTTTTTTCGTCTTGCGAAGCACGGCTATTAGCGGCTTAGCGGCTATTAACGGCTTAGCGGCTTAGCAGCTATTAGCGGCTTAGCGGCTATTAGCGGCTTAGCGGCTATTAACGGCTTAGCGGCTTTAAGAAAAAGGAAACGAACTCGCAAGAACTCGCAAGACGTTTCGTCTTGCGAAGCAAGCCCAGAGGGAAATTCGTCTTGCGGAACGACTCAAAAAACGGAAAACCCTTTCGTCTAGCGAGTTTTTCGTCTTGCGAGGCATTCGTCTTGCGGGGCACCACTGTATTATGCCTTTACTAATAGGAAGGAAAGGAGGAGAAGGGGGGAAGCATTTGGAACTTTGCTGGGAAGGGAATTATCTCTTATATCTTTAAAAAAATCTCAGTTACTATTAGTCAGTTTTGTACTGGGGGAAAAAGACTAAAAGTACAGTCCTTGTTTGGGAGTAAGACCGCTTGACTCAACTTATGAGCAAAGACTGAAATATAAAAGGCCTTCTCGGTAGTGGCGTCCACCCTGTGGAATGCCCTCCCATCAGATGTCAAGGAAATAAACAACTATCTGACTTTTAGAAGACATCGGATGGCAGCCCTGTTCAGGGAAGCTTTTAATGTTTGCTGTTTTATCGTGTTTTAATATTCTGTTGGGAGCTGCCCAGAGTGGCTGGGGAAACCCAGTCTGATGGGTGGGATATAAATATATCGTCGTCATTAGATGGCTTAAATCTGATTTTCAGAGCTACAGACTACACTTTTTAAGGAGTATTTTGGGAAATGGGCTGTTTCTTTCAAATCTGGTGGTACATTGGTCAGACTCCAATGTCAGGCCCCTAGGCACATATGGAAATAAATATAGATGATATAGAATGAAATATATGCAAATATAAGGATAAAAGGTGCGCTGTGCTGTGTTTTTCTTGTAAAAATAAGTATACATTTCTCTCCCCTGCCCTCCCCACCCTTTCTAATAGGTGTTGTGGTCGGGGAGAGTCCTTAAGCCAGCCAAAGATGACCTGGATGGCCAGCACCTCCATCAGTTGAATGAGAAGATCTTCCGTGATCCGCGAGTGAATATTAGCATGCTCAACATTGGCGATGGGGTGACGTTGGCATTTAAGCTGTAGAAGAGAAGCCCAGATGCTGTAGATGGGCTGGGCCCTCTAATCACGGGAACATTGAAGATGAAATGATGTATATTTTTGACCTCGTCTCAATAAAATAGCCTAGACTTGAAATCAGCAACCGACATAGACGAGTTCCTTCTTTTCTCTATCGCAGTCACGGCTGAAAATCATGGAGGGCGCAGGAAAACTGTATTTTGCATGTTCTCAGTGGGGGGGGGGAGCTCCTATTTTCACATGCAAAATCATACAATGAAAATAAGCTTCAAAATACCCAAGGTGTTTCCAGGACACATTGGACACCAGTTGCTTAAATGAGCAATTCATGTTGGTAGGTAGGTAAACTGCTTCGGTCTTTGTATGGTTGAAAGCTCCAAAGCATAGAAAATTGCATGTTGGGGAGGGGTTGTAGACTAGTCTCCCCAGTATGATGATGATGATGTTGTTGTTTAAATTATTTATTTGGTTCTTCAACTTAAAATTTTACAGAGATATATCAAACATAAATCATAAAAACAAGATTCCAAGGAATCTCCTGGACTTCCATCCTATTATTATTCATTTCCTCCCACATCTTTTATGTTAATCCAAACCCTTTACCACTTCCATTATATCCAGAATCAACCTTAAACGACAAGTTTTTAAGATAAATTATAAAATTTCCCCATTCCTTATTCAAATTTTGGTCTTCCTGATTTCTAACTCTTCCGGTCATTTTAGCCATTTCAGCATAGTCCATCTGCCATTCTTCTCTTCTTATCTTCTTTCCATTTCTGGGCCAGTAGCATCCGTGCAGCTGCGGGTCACATACGTAAATAGTTTTTTCTGCTCCTTTGGGATTTCGGCACCTCATGTTTTATTTTCTTTGTGCGGTGGATTTTATATACATAAGATTGACCATGGTTTACTGCATTCACAAGAAAACCACTCCTTCACTGCCCTCCTCCTCCTGGCTCGCCGAAGAGGAAACAAACCAGGCTTTGTGCCTTAGTGTTGTGTCTGAACTAGCTTCTCTCCAACACTGTCCATGGCTGAGGACCCACAGTGATCCCCAACATGCACTTGGCAGGCTGCCTCACGGACAGCAGACGTACCCTCACCCATGGACAGCATTGGGATAAAAGGTAAAGGACCCCTGGATGGTTAAGTCCAGTCCAAAGGCGACTATGGCGTTGCGGCGCTCATCTCGCTTTCAGGCTGAGGGAGCCAGCGTTGTCTGCAGACAGCTTTCCAGGTCATGTGGCCAGCATGACTAAACTGCTTCTGCCGCAACAGGACACTGTGATGAGTGCCAGAGCGCATGGAAATGCTGTTTACCTTCCCACCACAGCTGTACCTGTTTATTTACTTGCACTGGTGTGCTTTCAAACTGCTAGGTTGGCAGGAGCTGGAGACAGAGCAACGGAAGCTCACTCCGTCACGGGGATTCGAACTGCTGACCTTTCCGATTGGCAAGCCCAAGAGGCTCAGTGGTTTAGACCACAGCACCACCAGTGTGGGGCCACTTCTCTCCTACAATGATCCTTGCTTGTCTTCTACGTTAAAGACGTAGAGAGAGCACATTCATGAAAGCTGCCTCTTTTCTGATCCCGTAGCTGCCATTAGGAAAGACCCGCAATGCCCAGTTAGGCCACCAGTCGATGAATCATCTGTAAACTTGCTGCAAAAGTTAAGAAGGAAGCAGGGTGGAACTGAATACCGAGAATATATTACGCCGCCTCCCATTTCCTCAAAGCGTGGGTGAACCTTGAGCAACTTGTCCAGGGTTGTCTTGCATTCATGACTACTAAATATTCCTTGATTCTTTCTTTGATGCTAACGGCATTTTAATCTGCTCTCCATACCAACCCACTCCAGATATCATGGTTGTGAGTCAGCCTGAGGAGTTTCAGGAAAGCTGTGGCAGGCATGTTTGGATATGCTTTCTGCCGACTCTTCACCAGTAATATAATCACACTTCTCCATCATGAAGGCTTTACGCCTACCTACTCTAGGTATTTGTGTGTGTGTGTGTGTGTGTGTGTGGAATTTGATCTATGCTGCAAAACCTATTTTGGAGGTGCGAAAACATGGAACTCTCTTGTGCATTCTTCCCTGCCTCTTCACAAACAGTGGCGTGTCGTCCCCGTCCCCCCCATCTGTGTTGGCAGCAGGAGAGAGAGATCAACCCTGGTAGATAAGTTGAATTGTTTCAATGCCCAAGAAGAAGTCCCAGTGAGAGAAGAATGGCTACAGAAATTAATGGACCAATGGCAAAACATGTCAGAAGAATAAGAAATCAAGACATCAAGCATTTTATTAAGGAATGGAAATGGTTCCTTGAATATCTACAAACTGCAAACAGATTAGGACATTAGCAGGATTAGTGTAGAAACCTGCAGTTTCAAAAACATCTATGAAAACAGATGAATAAAGGAATAAATAGAGATGGTTGGGATATGTGGGGAAAGATGTAAATAAATCTAAGGAACTGCAGAAAGAGAATGTGAGAATTAGAGTTGAAATGTTTGTTATAAATGAAAATTAGTATAATAATTATTTATTAAGAGAATTGCCTCAATGCCCTGCCTCTTCATTTGGGCAGTGTCTGCCACCAGACGCAATGTGGGGCCAAGGAACTCCATCCGCACTTAAATGAATGTTGTTGTTGTTTAGTCGTTTAGTCATGTCCGACTCTTTGTGACCCCATGGACTAGAGCACGCCAGGCACTCCTGTCTTCCACTGCCTCCCGCAGTTTGGTCAAACTCATGCTGGTAGCTTCGAGAACACTGTCCAACCATCTCGTCCTCTGTCGTCCCCTTCTCCTTGTGCCCGCCATCTTTCCCAACATCAGGGTCTTTTCCAGGGAGTCTTCTCTTCTCACGAGGTGGCCAAAGTATTGGAGCCTCAGCTTCAGGATCTGTCCTTCCAGTGAGCACTCAGGGCTGATTTCCTTAAGAATGGATAGCGTTTGATCTTCTTGCAGTCCATGGGACTCTCAAGAGTCTCCTCCAGCACCATAATTCAGAAGCATCAAATCTTCGGCGATCAGCCTTCTTTATGGTCTAGCTCTCACTTCCATACATCACTAACTTAAATGAATATCCCGATACAAAGGTACACTTCCTGGTTGCCTCAGCAGCAATGCCCTGTGGGCCAAATTAATGTGTCCATGGCAAGCTAGCTTAGGAAACCCAGGAAATTTGGGGCAGCGAGGGTGGGAGAAGGGTTTGCAACAGTCTGCAGCTGCCTCACACTGTCAGCACTGTCAGCACTGTAGGGTAACCAGTTGAAAAGAGAGGACAGGGTTCTTGCAGCTTTAACATTTGCTTAGGAGAGGGAATTGGCAAGTTTGGGCAAGAGGGGGCCATTCCAGCGCACGGTGTTGCCGCTTGTCTGCCCCAGGGGCAGAGATGGTGAGCATCAAAGTCCTCCTCTCTCACCAAGTTTGACCCTGCTGATGTGAGGGTTGACCCCATCGGAAGGCCCCATCGACACACAAGCATGGCTGTCACACAGTGACCCTATGCAGCTGCTCACAGCCTCTGTCATCTACTGCATTAATATAATAATACAATAAGAGTAACTTCTATAAAGCAGGGCTTCAGAAAGAAGGGACTCAGCTCGACTGCTAAAGAAAAAGTGATTTATGTGCGTTGTATGTGCGATATAACATTGTGTGCCACCAGATGGCAACGTGGAGTCCCGTTTTTCCCTACCAGATTTCCCTGTTTAAATTTACAGTGCTTTAGACTGAAACACTTCTTTGATGCGTCTAGATCCAGCCAAGGAATGCACAGTTGTAAAACAGTTGGAAAGAATAAATGAACAATTGTGGTGGTGAGAAACATGCCAAAGGGAGGGATTAATGCACAGTTCCGAACAATGTATTTATTTCTCTCTCTTTTCCATAACAGCGAGTACATAAACTGGCTGCTGTAATATTTATTCCTATTATTGGGAAGTTAAATATTGCCAATAACTCACTGGTTTCGCTCTGCGTTAGGTTTCATATTATAGAGGTTGATTTAAGTTTGTGGAAACGCAAACATTTATCTCTTCCTCTCGTTCATATTACCCTCCTGAGTTCCAAGCAAATTGTGCCTACTTATATTTTATGATTTTGAGATAATTAAAATATTTTATGAAGGCAACTAAAAAATAAAATAAAAACCCTCCCCAGAGTTAGCGGCAAGACTATTGATTGACTAGTGCTTTACTGCAAAGGGGGTGAGGTGGCGATGAATCATTCTTTAAAGGCTTCTAAGTTTCCTTTCATTGACACGCTAAACACAGCAACCTCCTACACTGCTAAGGCTCCTGGGGGAAGCTGAACATTCACAACATTTACTGATAGCGCCACACCAGAGTTACTAAAAATAATTCATGTTCGGGCCTCACTGCCAGTTTTGGAAATAAACGCCAAACAGCTGCAAACATTTATACTGTAGTGGGGTTTTTGACCCATAAAATAATACAGCAAGGAAGAAACAAATGAAAGAAAATTTGTGAAGCTTTCCGTATTTTTGTACTTTGGTAACCCGATAAAATATTTACTAAAAACAAATTTTTTAAGATGAATGAAATGACATGAGCGGGGAGCAGGGGCCAGACTGTAAAAACTTAAGAGTCAAAGAATTGGAAGGGGCCCCAAGGGTCTTATAGTCCAACCCCATATTCTGCCTGGCTTGGGACTCGAACCCACAACCGTGAGATAAAAAGTCTCGCGATCTACCAACTGAGCTATATGTTCCTACTGAAATGGAATAGAGTCCATATGAGCTATGGGTGGCGCTGTGGGTAAAACCTGAGTGCCTAGGACTTGCCAATCGCATGGTCGGCGGTTCGAATCCCCGCGGCGGGGTGAGCTCCCGTCGTTTGGTCCCAGCTCCTGCCCACCTAGCAGTTCGAAAGCACCCTTAAGTGCAAGTAGATAAATAGGTACCGCTTTATAGCGGGAAGGTAAACGGCATTTCTGTGTGCTGTGCTGTGCTGGTGCTGGCTCGCCAGAGCAGCTTCGTCACGCTGGCCACGTGACCCGGAAGTGTCTCCGGACAGCGCTGGCCCCCGGCCTCTCAAGTGAGATGGGCGCACAACCCTAGAGTCGGACACGACTGGCCCGTACGGGCAGGGGTACCTTTACCT